ATTCTCTATGGAGGGATTCATAGGGATACACTCAGCCTACATACATGAGGGAGGGCCTAGGCCTTGCCCCAAATGATGTGGCAGACTTTGACCATCCCCCATGGGAGGCCTCATCCTCTCTGTAGAATAGGCAGGGGGTGGGATGGGGGTTGGAGGGGTGAATGGGAGGGTTGGAGGGAGGGGGAACTGGGATTGGTATGTAAAGTATGATTGTTTTTTATTTAAAATTTAAAGAGTTGAATGGAGAGAAAAACTGGGTGTCCTAGCACACTCCTGTAATCCCACTCCTTAGGGGGTAGAGGCTAAGAATTGACAAGGCAATAATGAAGATTCACCAGCCCACTCAAGCATGTGGTTCTGGCAGGCCTTGCCCTTCTCCCCATTCCCTCTGCCTTGTTAAAAGCCATTAGATTACATCCCTAAAGCTAGCCCCCAAGGCCTGTTTCCTTATCTGTCCACTTCCTCCTCCTGAGGCTGACTAACAGTCCAGCAATCAGAAGCCCCTTCTGGTTCATGTAATTAACATGCCCCGTTAAAATTAAACACCTCATCCTAGTACAGACTTTCCCCCTTAACCTTTTTTTTTAAAACAATTTATTATGTATACAGTGTTCTACCTGCATGTATGCCTGTAGGCCAGAAAAGGTCACCAGATCTCATTAAAGATGGTTTTGTGAGTCACCATGTGGTTGCTGGGAATTAAACTCAGAACTTCTCTGAAAGAGCAGTCAGTGCTCTTAACCTCTGAGCCATCTCTCCAGTCTGCCTTTACCTTTATAAACTGACATAAGCTTATGTACCACGTCTGTCTCCCTTCTATCCAGATCCAGTCCTTTGTCCCTCTGGGACAAATACCCCTGCCCCCTTTCCTCTGTTCCCTTCCCCTTCTCCCTGTCCCCATCTCTTTTACCACCACATCCTAGCCCATTCTAACACAGACCTCCCTTCTTCTATTAAGAATGACACCTGCAGCTGGACAATAATCCCAGCACTTGTGAGGCAGAGGCAGGCGGATCTCTGTGAGTTCCAGGACAGAACAGCCAAGGCTACACGGAGAAATCCTGTCTCAAAAAAAAAAAAAAAAAAAAAAAAAAAAAGACATCTACAAGGTTATTTGTTGTTATTTGCTGTTGTTTTTCTGCCTGAGTCAGAAAGCAGACACTTTCCTGTTTCTTCCCTGAATAATAAAGGATCTCTGTTTAAAAAAAAAAAAAAAAAAAACATGTATTTGGTTGTGGTTTGTGCCTAATCCAAGTTCTGCAAGGGAGCCCCCACTGTGCAGGAGTCTACTTCAAATATAGCAATATAGCAGTCATAAAATGCCCAAATCAGCAGACAAAAAGATTTTAAGTATTTAATCCTAAAATAGATAAATTTTTTTAAGCTTTTCAGGACAGGGTTACTCTAGTTTTGGAGACTGTCCTAGAACTCACTCTGTATATCAGACTGGTCTCTCGAACTCACACAGATCTGCCTGTCTCTGCCTCCTGAGTGCTGGGATCAAAGGTGTGCAGCACTGACACTGCTTGGCTAAAATACATAATCTTTAACGAAGGTGGGCCTGCTTTTTAATCAATGCACTCAAGCTTGCATATTCCCAAAATCTGGATAATTTTCCTTAATGGGTCATAAGTGTAACAGCTCTGCCCCAGTAGCTAGGTAGAGATTTGGAGTAACTTAATATAACATTCACCTTTTTCATCTGGAATATATGCCACATATGTATGGGTGCCCAAGAAGGCCAGAAGAGGGAGCTATAGTCCCTGAAGCTGGATTTACAATAGGCTGTAAACCACAGAACATGGGTGCAAGGAACTGAACTCGGGTCCTCTACAAGAACTGCATTTGGCTGGCAGTCATAGTGCCAGTACTCAGGAGGCAGAGGCAGGCAGATCTCTGTGAGTTCAAGGCCAGCCTGGTCTACAGAGTGAATTCCAGGACAGCTAAGACTACACAAAGTCACAGAAAAAGCCTGTCTCAAAGGGGGGGGGGGGGCTGGAGAAATTGTTCAGTAGTTAAGAGCACCAGCTGCTTGACCAGAGGACCAGAGTTCAATTCACAGCACCTAGACAGCAGCTTATAAGCATCTGTTAACTCCAGCCTCAGAGGATCCAAGCACCTCACCTGGTCTTTATGGGTACTGAATGAACATGGTGCAAGACATACATGTAGGCAATGCACACATATAAAATTGTTTGTGGTGGTGCTGGCTTGTAAGCCTTGGGCAAAGAAGACAAAGGCTAGCCTAGCCAGAAAATTGGCTTTCAGGTCAAAAAAAGAAAAGGGAGGGGGGAGCTCTAGCCTTATGCCATGGTAACATGATCTTTTAGCCTCCTTTAGCCATATGCCATGGTACCATGATCTTTCAGCCTCCTTGGGCACGAGGCACACATGGTACACTTGTACAGATATAAAGGCAAAACACTCAGACATAAAATAATTCTAAAATAAAAATTTTTAATGGGGGTTGGAGAGATGGCTCAGAGGTTAAGAGCATTTATTGCTCTTGCTGCAGAGGACCTGGGTTCAACTGCCAGCACCCACAGGGCATTTTACAACCATTCTTAACTCCAGTTTCAGGGGATCCAGTGTCCTCTTCTTGCCTCTGTGGGTACCAGGCACACATGCAATGCACATACATGCATACAGGCAAAACGTTCATACTCATAAACAAAAATAGTAAACTTTAATAAATGGTCTCTGGCCCCATAGTAGACATACAGTTCATTTTTGTTAAGTTTTCATGTGAGAACTAAAGAAAAAACAATCCTTTTCCAGTGGACAGGGTCACAAGGAGAGATAAGCAAGCCCCAAAATTATTTATTATTGTGTATTTCCTTGCTCTCCAAATTACCTTGCAAACAGAACACAAAAGCATCAAAATGAAATGTACACAACTATGGTAGTTTCTGTCTAGCCCCCTGCCCTTTGAAGTGTACTCTCCTTCTCCCCTCTCTCCCTTCCTTCCCCCAATAAAGCTTCCTTCCCACCTGGGAAAAAAATAAATAAAATATTTATGAGCTTGGCATGGTGGTGCATCTCAGGGCTTGGGAAGGAGAACCAGGAAAATCTCTTTAAATTCAAAGCCAGCCTGATTTGCACAGTGAGTTCAAGGAAACCAGGACTATGCAGAGACCTGTCTCAAAAAAAAAAAAAAAAAAAAAGACAAAAAAATTTTTTTTCAATTGTGTGTATGCACAGTCTCTGCACATGAATACAGGTCTCAGAGGCCAGTTGGATCCACTGGAACTAGGTGCTTGTTGTTAAATTTTAAAAAGTCCAGGTTACTGGAAAGGCTAATGGGAACCCACAGCTGGTGATGCAACAAACCAATCAGACTAAATTAATGAATCCAGGTTTAATCTGGGTGGCCCCAGGGGAAGAACAGAAAACCAGATGCCTTTAATTCCCTGGGGGTGGAGAGGTGGGAGTGTGGAGCCGCCAATGGCAGAGGTTTTTTAGGGGCGGAGTCTGGACTAAGGAGATTCCAGAGGAGGGCCCGCCCTTGGCACCCTGAGGGCTGGTTTGGAACCGGGCTACCAAACAACATTCTAACCTCTTTGAATAGATATAGAGGTCGGTAGGGCTTCCACTTAAACTTCCCAGACTTCTTGGGGATAGGCGAGTCTGGATATTTATACCTTGGATCTAATATTGCTTATTGGGATAACATTCAGCAAATTACTTAATCTCTTTAGGCTCAGGATCCACATCTATGACTTTTTAACACCTTCCAACTCTAATAACAGGGTTACTAAAAGAGGTCATGCTGAAGATCAACTACTAAAAGAGTATTACATGTTTACAACGAACACTTAATGCATATAGATGTTCGCTATGACTAATGCTGTGATGCTGCTGCACAGTATCAATAACCAGGCTGCCTGTCCCTGCCCTAGCTAGCTGTAACCCCGATAACTGGTAAATTTTAAAACACCGCCCCAGGCCCCGCCCCGGACAACTCATATATAAGACCACCATGTATAAAATTAGGGTTGTCGATGTCCCTACCTCTTGGTGTTGTGGACAATATAGAGTGCTTTAAGACGGTAAGCCCATTTGGGTGGAGGTGGCAGACTCAGTAGGAGCGCACTTGTCTACACTTGCACATTGCCTCAGGTTTAAGCTATAGCACTGTTAAGAACAAAAACATGCAACATGCTCCATAAATGAGACCTAATGTTGGACTTCTTAATTTTCGGGCTCAGATCATGGACACAGCAAAGCAAAACAGGGTGGGTCAAGAAAATCTGTCTGCAGAATGACGCGGGGCGTCTAGACCTGATATTGTCTGCCTAAAAGGCTCCATGCAAGGGACGTCCAATCGAGCTCAACCAGGGGCCCAGTACCTGAGTCGCCCCCTGCGCTGACAACCTGGACATCAGGCCCCGTTTGAGCGCTGGGCAGCTGGCGGGGAACCGAGACGCCGCCGATGGAGTGTTCATTAGGTTCGGGATCCATAGAGATGGATATACACGCGGCTTTAGCGTGAGTGAGGGCAAGAAATAACGTAAAGGTTTGGGGAACAGTGGCCTTAACCCAGACAGTCAGGCCGCGGTGGTCGTGAAATCAAAACTCCAGCGATGACGTTTCATCTGCAGTGGGTTGGAACCGCCTAGCCGCAGAGCCCACAGCATGACGCCACCATCCCCTACAGCGCCTGCGCCTCCTCCGAGTCAAGTTCCAGGCGGAGCGCTCTTCACGCGCCTTGGGTGGAATCCGGGACCCACAATTCCCCCGGCACACGTCCTTTACGTGAGCGCGTGCATCCACCCTAGTCCCGCCTCCAAATCCCATGGTCCTCTGCGAACTGGTATTTAAGGAACGTCCATTGTTCTTTTCGGTCTCATTTTTTCGAGTTTCGGTAAGTGTTCTACGTTGGCCTTTTTCCTTTTCACCTTTTCACACTTAACCGACGATGCTTTGCTCTGTATCCGCGGCTAGCTTCGGTCGCATAGTGATCTGCCTGCCTCCTGTTATTAAAAGCGTGAAACACGACGCACAGCTTTTAAGAAGCAATTATTTCTGATGGTAATTGCGTTTCCCAGACGCAATTCTGTAACATCGGTAACTGGGGCAAGGAGCATAGTTACGTATGGGGAGGGTCTTCCAGATCTCGAATCAGGGCCTTGGGGCTATGTGAAGGACAAAATGGTGGCGGCGGTGCAAGGCCATCCCTGTGATGAGTACCCTTTCACAGACCTGTACTGACTTCCGTGAGGATATGTAACTCTGAGGAAGATGGCCCTGTGTCAAAGCCTTGTGCCTCCTGCCGAGCTTTCTCTTCAAAAGTGCTATGTAAGTGACCGAATGCTAATTACTGTTGCAGATGGGTGACACGTGACTGCATACGGAAGGATGAAAGTGTACTCTCAATGGAGTAAGTTTTTTAGTGTTTTGATTTTGCTGACTGGAGGTTATACATGTGCTGCAGGGATGATTTAAAACCTGAACTCTCTCTTTCTGATGGTGTAGTGGAGAAAATAGGAAAATTTCTGAGTAGCACAGTGCCCACCAGATACATGGGTTTGGTTTCAGGTAAAGTATGATACTGAATTGTCTTTTTCTTACGCAGATATGGATACTCTATACGGACTTTACAATTTGGAGCCTGGCTAAATCAGGTGGGTAAACATGGTTTATGCACCCAGAGAAGAGGGAACACGTTTAGATGGCCACTTAATGATGAGTGTAAATGACAAGCATATGACTGAATTGTAGTGATGTCATCTTACTACTGAAAAGTGAGCTAAATGGATGGATGGCGTATTGTTGTGGTTATGGTCGTATTAAGTAATTTTTATCTTCCTGTGCTCAGCATCCTGAAACGTTCTGAAGAATCCAAAACGGTCTTCCAGGATGAATTTAACTCCAGGTAATTGTTCAGATGGGGCTACAGCATGATTCTGCAGAGTGCAAAATGAGAAATTGAAGCAGCACACAGCTCATGTGCTCTTATTTCTGTGTAAGCAAAGACTGTCAGATGATTTGAATCCGTATGCTGATGCTCTGTGAAGTTTGAATTAATAGCATGTTAGAGTTCTGATGGCAGTTAGTGGCCATGAGGGAGTTTTAGTTCATCCTGGTGGTTGAAAATAACTGCTTTTCTTTCTTTCCCAGGTTGTCCTGATGGTTTGTCCAAAGGTGAGGTCAGTTTTCATACTATTGAAGGCTATACTTGCTTATATTAACTAGTGGGCTTTCCAAAGCAAGCCCTCCTTTAAGGGTAATTTTTGCTTTTTTAATGTTCGATTTGCCTCTTAGATATTTTTATATATAATCCAAATGAAACTGAAAAGGTGCTGAATATTGGCAGTGGGGAAGAGAATCGGTCCCATAGGAACCTAAGGACTATAAATATCACATTTAGCATGCTCCTATCTGAATGTTGAGATAGCGGGACATGGTGCTGTAGACCATTGATCCAAACCGAGGAGACAGAAACCTACCTGGCCTCAGAAAAAAGAGACCAAGACAGGAATTAACTCTATACTTTCTTGATTCAGGAGGAATTCATGGCTATATATCACCAATCTCCAGCATCCAAAGGTTAGTTGATGTTTTGGTTTCGATAGTGTTTGTCTAACTAGGCAGTTTCTATGATGAATCAAACTAGCTCACTATGACTGGCAGTGAAAACATATGAACACCTGAGAAACTGAATAGTGGAGAGTTTGTGGGTGTCTGTTTCTAGCCTTTTGTTCAAGTTTGCTCTTTGTTCCCACAGGTTCTGTTAATAGCATACTTCTTGGCTCAGGTGGTTGAGAGGTAAGTAATTTTACATGCATGTAACATTGGGTTTCAAAGTTTCTACAAGCACTTAAAGTGTATATGATGACTTTCATAGAATCTCGTTCGGCTGATAATTGCTGTTGAGACTTGGAAATCTGAATTATCTCAGGGTGGTGGGTTAGATGGGAAGCTTGTTGCAGTATTTAAGCATTGACTATCTTGTTTCAGATCTGGTATTTGGCCTAGAGAGCACCAAGAAGACCTGCCAGGTAAATGCTCTTATAATAGTTTGCTGTGTAGATTAGGTGTCACTGTAATGCTTTGATGTAGTGGAATGCCTGCTCACCAATGATGAGTTGAATACCGCCCCAGTCTGACAACTGTGAAGAAAGGTATTTTCTGAGTTGTGAGCTCTCAGGCTGCATCAGTTGTGAAAGAATTTCAGATACAGCATGTGATTAATAAAATGAGCTTTCGTTATAGTTTTCTTTTGTGATAATGGCCCTACTTTCTGGTCTTTTGCAGGGAAATTAAGCATGATTTCACCCAAGGCTGTGCTGTAATGAGGTGAGAAAACTTAGATGTAATGTTGCTGAATTGTAATTTTCCCCATGAAGAAACAATCACATGTCTTACTTCCTGTCCTAGCCCCAGAGCCTGAAAAGGTGAACCCACTGGGGCTGGCTGGGAGAGAAGAGGAAATTTTGTTCCAGAAGGAACTGTCTGAGGGATTTGTATTTTCATTGTGTGGAAAGAACTGTCAAGTTGCTGAAAATGAAGTAAATGTCTTGTCTCTTTCAGGTCTGAGGAAAGAGTGACCTAACTGCAGGAGGAAGGTAGGTTTCCCCTTGATTCAGATGATACAAAGTAATGGGAAGAAGGGTATATTGTCTAACCACAGGTGAACCTGATTATTAAACACAGGAGCTGCCATGTGCATGCTAAGAAATTCAATCCCCCAAAAACTGGGAAAGAGTAGAGGCAGGACCCAGTCAGAACTGCCTCAGCAGACTGGCCTAACCTTGAATTCAATTGTGCTGTGCCCAGCTGATAGTGAAGTGCTTGGGGACAAAGGCTGTCAGTGCCACCTGACTTGAAATGTAACATTGGGCATGCTAGCAAATAAGTTTGCTTAATTATTCTTTTCTTTTACAGGAATCCCAAGTCTTCAAAGACAAAGATTTTGTTTGACTATTTGCCATCTTAATTTAATAAAATTGTTCTTCACCATTTGTTGTTTGTCCTCACTTTGGCAGGGTAAGGGAGAGCACAGAAAATAGGTGCTTTTCTAAGTTTGGTTTTGTATTTGCTTTGGATTGGTTCTACAAACAGGTTCTGAAGTGTGGGTAGTATGGCTTTTGGAAGGGCTAGTTTGAGACAGGCTGTCCTGTGCTTCACTTTCTAGACCCACAGAGATCAATCAATCCGTGTTCCCAAGTGATATGGCTTTAAAAAAATGCTTTATGCCCTTGATCTGGCTCTGTACACCAGTTTAGATCCCTCCTGCTTTGGCTGACATTAAAAGCATGTGCACCACCAGCTGGTCTATATATATATATTTACCAGTCTTGTTTGAGAGCGGAGTCTTTTGGCCAGTTAGAAGTTCCCTGTCATTACATGTCACTGTCCATGTTCTGGAAGAGAGGTGTGGACCGAGATACACAGCTCAATCTCTGATGTTTCAATGTCTGACTGCCTGTTGAGATGTGAGCTGTTTTACCCTGTAGGGTTCAATTGCGTTTTATCTGTCTACATCACAGGGCTGCTTTAGCACAGCAAGTTTGATTCCCTTCAAAGTTCAATATAGTTGTAAGACGCCATGTCAGTGAGGTAGGAATCAAACCTAGGCCCTGTAAAAGTTCCTTTGAAGGTTGCATGTATGTGGTTTCCAGAGGTCTTAAGTTTGAGATTTAAGAAAATTTACATCCACTATTGGGTTTGGTTAATCACATGGTTTACTGGGATTGTGGGTTACTGCCATTGGTACTGTTGGCAGTTTACACTTGCTATGTGGTGGCAGGTATCAAATATTGGCTGCAAGATGAATAAAAAAAAATGGCCATGCTTTTGAGAGCCTGCAGTACTGACAAATCTCAGGTGTGTGTTAATCCCACCAGTGGAGAACAAGAGTTACCACAATTTTTACCAAATTAAAAGCAGTCTTTCAAGTTATGGCCCAGAATCATAGTTTGTAGTGGCTTTGAAAAGCCCATCGGGTCAAATCAGGCAAACATGGTACTTCCAGCCTATGAACCTGTCCATATGTGATCAGACAGATGGATCAAACATTTGCTTAGGCGGTGAAAAACATGGCTTGTCATCTATGAACACTAGCTTCCAGCATTTTGGGAAGCTATCCTTAGGCAAGGAATTTGCAGATCAGAGGCATTTTGTTTCATGGATCTTTTAGACAGTAATTCAATCTATCTCACACAAGACCTGTGCTAAGAAGTGGAAGAGACCAAGTGGTAACAAGGCCAAGAACAGATTTTGCTTCAGGTCAGACACTTTATCTTGCTGTCTCATCCTTATGCCTGCCAAAATGAAACTGAAGACAGGAAAGATAATCTGTCAATACACTGGGAAAGGGGAGAGCCCTTAGCAAAATTAGACAAGGCTATGGACTATGGGGGGTCATTGTTAGTCAAAATAAAGAGTAGTTGGAGCTTGGTGGTAGTGGCACATGCCTTTAGTTCTAGTAGTCTAGGCAGAGTCAGATGGGGGTCTCTGAGTTAGAGGTCAGCCTGGCCAACAGCTAGTTCCAGGACTGCCAGGGCTACCCTGTCTCTAAAACCTGGGGCCTTAGAGATGGCTCAGTCAATAGCACTTCCTGAGGACCTGAGTTCAGTTCCCAGTTCACGACTACCTACAGCTCTAGGTTCAGAGGCTCTGACACCCTCTTCTGGCCTCCACAGGCACTGAACTCACATGTACACACAAAACTAGCTTGGTGGTTGTTGCACACACCTTTAGTCCCAGAACTTAGGAAGCAGGGCAGGTGATTCTCTGAGTTCAAGGCTAGCCTGATCTACAAAAGATAGCCAGGACTGTTACACAGAAACCCTGTTATCAAAAGAACCAAAACCAAAACTCAGTTTACCATCCTAGTGCACCATCCTAATCCCAGCACTTTGGAATTCCCGAGCAGCATGACAATCCTATTTTTTAAATAAATGAATAAAACAAAAACACAATAAGGGCTGGGGAGATGAGTCAGTTGGTAAAGAGCCACACAAATCTAAAGACCATAATATGATCCCCAACACCCACACCCATCATGTAAAAAAACAGCAGTGGTACTGTGTGCCTATAATCCCAGTTCAAGGAGGGCAAAAACAGGAAGATCCCTGGGGTTTGCTGGCCAGCCAGTCTAGCTGGAATCAGTACATTGTGCCACTGACAGACCTTGTCTCAAATATTGAATGGAGGTGGGTGGAAATGTAGCTATTGTGGGTTTTGTTTTACTCTTTGGGGGCCCACCATCCAGCTCCCAAATAAATACATGTAAACTTATGAATGTTGAACATTAGCTTAGCTTGTTTCTAACCAGCTTTTCTGTCTTAAATTATTCCATTTCTCTTTAACTATGTATTACCTCTGGGCTTTTTACCCTTTTCCTTTTCTATGTATTTTTCTTCCTTCTTACTCTATGGCCAGCTGGGTGGCTGGCCCATGGCATCCTCCTCTCCTTTTCTGGATCATCCTTAGCTCTCTGCCTCCTAGCCCCACCTATTTCTCTCTCCTGTCTAGCTATTGGCTGTTTAGCTCTTTATTACAACTCAGGTGTTTTAGACAGGCAAAGTAACACAGGTTCCCAGTTAAACAAATGAAACATAAAAGAATGCAACACATCATTAAACATATACTTATTCCACACCATAAATGAAGGTAACACATCTTAAACTAATATTCCACAACATGGAAAGATGGCTTAGATGTTAAGAGCACTTCTTACTCTTCCAGAGGAAGAGTTTTATGTAGTACCACAAGGCTTGGGTCCTGGAAATATGATTAGGTGTGGCAAGGGAATGAAGGGAAAACAGGCAAGACATATTTTCAGGTCAGGTGGGGGTGTGCTTACTCTAAGGGAATGGATCCTACTACTTCCTGACCAAACCTCAGACTGTTTATTAGAACCTCAGATTATTAGGTACAATACAGTGGGAGGGTTAGCTTATCCCTATAAGAAGTCTCTGTAAGCAAGTCTCAGTCTCAGGTTGTTAACACTCTGGAGGAGGAAACTGCAGTTTCCATATTTTTGTACACACTTATCATTTTTGTTTATTTGTTTTTTTTTTTTTTTTTTTTTTTTTTTTTTTTTTTTTTGAGACAGGGTTTCTCTGTGTAACAGCCCTAGCTGTCCTGAAACTAGCTTTGTAGATCAGGCTGACCTTGAATTTACAGAGATCCGCCTGCCTCTGCCTCAAGATGCTGGGATTAAAGTTGTGTGCCATCACCGACTGGCTCACTAATCAATTATCAATAAATACTTATACTTGGGTCAGAATGCAACTTTACCTTCTAGCCTGGATTATATGGGAACCTGCTTTGTCACTTTCTGCTGGGTCTAAGGGGTTGGTTTTTGTACATGTCAGCAGTACAGGGCCATCTCTCCAGCCCTCCTTGTTTCTTTCCTTCTTTTTTCCTTTTTTTTTTTTTCTTTGCAATTCCTTTTTTTATTAATTTATTTTTTATTTTATTTTACATATTGATCCCAGTTCCCTCTCCCTCCCTCCCTCCCTCCCTCTCCTTGTTTCTTTTTTTAATAAGAAATTTATTGAATTTTATTTTGAGTATTGGCATAAGGGTTACCTGAAACTGGAGCCATAGACAGTTGTAAGCTTTCATGTGATTGCTGGGAATTGAACCTTGGTCCTCTGGAAGAGCAACCAGTTCTTTTAACCACTGAGCCACCTCTCCAGCCCTACTTTTTTTTTTTTTCTTTGTTTTCTGTTTTTTGGAGACAGGGTTTTTCTGTTGCTTTGGAAGCTGTCCTGGAACTAGCTCTTATAGACCAGGTTGGCCTCGAACTCACAGAGATCCACCTGCTTCTGCCTCCTTAATGCTAGGATTAAAGGGGTGTCCCACCACTATCTGGCCCAGCTTTTGTTTTAAAACGCAAATTATCAGTATCGTCAGTGAGAACACAGCCTCCTAATTTTTGCCTAGAGAACCTTTAGCTTCGAGGCAGTGGTGTTGCACACCTTTAATCCCAACACTCAGGAAGCAGAAACAGGTGGGTCTCTGTGAGTTCCAGATCAGCCTGGTTTAAAGCACGAGTTCCAGAACAGCCAGGGCTAAACAAAGAAACTCTGATAAATAGATAGATAAACAAAAAACAAAGTAAAAACAAAAAGAAACTCTGTCTCAAAAAAACAAAAACATAAAAAACAAAAATAAACACATGCCTAGTTAGAACTAGGTTTCCAACTTAGTTATATTAATATAGTTTCTGAGGAAATAGGGACTGACAATATTTCTTAGCCAGGATTTGATAGTTCTTGCATACAGACAGGCTTTGAGTTGTTGGGGGGGAAAATCGCTTCAATTTGCCAGTGGGGTTTGAGAGTGTAGCTCTGTAGCAGGGACTTGTCTACTTTGAGAGTACTTCTACTTGCAAAGAATGCTGAGCCATAAGAACACTGGGGAGGGAGAAGCATAGGAGTAGAACTTCAAGACCCAGCATGGTTTACAGAATGAGCCCCCCCTTTTTTATATCAAACTAAAACCAACAAAGTCGGGGGCAGGGGCAGAAAGAGAACGAAAGATAAAGGCAATCTTCCAGGAGGCTCTAACTGGACACAGATGCCAAGCTTAAGTGTTTCCAATGCTCACATTTCCTGTACTGTTTATCCATTTTTATTTATTTATTTTTTCCAGGCAGGGTTTCTCTGTGTAGTCCTGGCTGTCCTGGAACTCTGTCTGTAGACCAGGCTGGCCTGGACCTGGACCTCAGAGATCCACCTGCCTCTGCCTCCCGAGTTAGAGTGCTAGGGCTAGAATTAAAGGCATACCCCATCACTACCTGGCACAGTGAAGATTTATGTGTGGAATGTCCCCTCAAACAGGGATGGTGGCGGCTGCCAGACTTGGCCCATGAGAGCTGACTCCACCCAGCACTGCAGTTTACAACACAGACAGCACAGAGTGACACTTACTTTTCAGTTCTCCACAAATAAGCCTGGACTGTTTGTTTCCACAAAGGTAAAACAAGGTGGAGCTGGCAGAGT